GGGCGGGTCCCGCTCTGAGCCTGGCGCTGCCTCCCAGGGCGCTGGGAAGAGTTTCCAAAAGTCCCTTTCGAGAACTTCTTCCGCGCTCTCCGCGGGAAGCGTGTGTCTGTGTGACCGAGGGTTGCTGCATCTCCCTTGCAGGACACGATTCATCAGCTGGAGAACGAGCTTAGAGGAACGAAGTGGGAAATGGCACGCCACTTGAGGGAATACCAGGATCTCCTCAATGTCAAGATGGCCCTGGATATCGAAATCGCTGCCTACAGGTACAGTAGGACCATTGCGGACATGTCTGGAATATTAATAGCACTGCAGATGCTGCTGGCTTGGGAAGCTCTACCACAGACAAGAAGTATCTGCGTGCGGTGAACACAAGTGAGATTAGAGCTATTAGAGCAGTTCAAAATCTCCCCAGAGCCATGGAGCGTTTGCAGTAAGAACCCCGGCTTCGTCAGGGACCAGCTCCGGTGCCGCATTCTGCCCTTGTCTTTTGCTGCATCTCCTGCTTCTGTAAACAAGTTTATTTTTAATTCCTGTTTACTTTGCGTATGCCAAGCAATCGGTGCTTGTCACTTTAATTCCCTTTTATCGCTCGAGAGAGACATGCACTTGCTTGATCATGGTTTCAAGCAGGGAGCGCTAATCTGCTTGTCGCAAACACTTTTGCTTTTCTTGCTCAACTTTCCTTTAAAGGCATCCGCTCTAATCTGGAGCAGGAACACTGCTTGCTATTGCCATCACCTGGCAGGTTTTTTTAGTCTCCTTGGCATCACTTTAAAACTGTCATTGGAGAACTGCTGATTTTTCTGGGTCACAGGCTTAGATAAAAAAGATGCATCTGAATATAGGTAAAACAAAAAAACCCAAACTCATCTCTAGATCTGCTTAAGTTACTGAGGTTGTTCAGACAAGCACCCAGACACCCTAGGCTCCATAGCTGCTTTCTGCCAAAGATAGCTGAACAGCAGTACCTTTGGTTTTCATAGCCGCACAAGGAAGTGGACACCCAAACTATTGAACTAGGAAATACGCTCTAATTGGCTTTGAGTATCTTAGCAGCAATATTTGATATGGGTCTGTTAGCTGTGTCAAATCCTCAGTGTGCCCAAGTCATAATGCATCTTGTGGAGTTCCATTATTTTGCCATACCCTGTGCTGTAATGAAGTGCTTGATGCTTCAGCTGATCAGCCAAAGGTGTTACACTTGCCACATGCAAACCAAGCTAAAAGCTGTTGGCTGAATACGAATTTTGCAAAAGACCTGATTCAAGAAAAGCCAAACTGGGGCTGCGAGTGATGGATTATGCTGATCAGCTGTAGCATATTCCACACACAAACTAGTTTTATCCTGCTGACAGGGAAATATTCTAATACTAATTCTGTCACTTATGTTAGCTTTTGATGTGCTTTATTTATTTTTTTTCCTGCTCCCGATTCCCTTAGGAAGCTACTGGAGGGTGAAGAGACAAGATTCAGTGCCTTCTCTGGAAGCATTACTGGACCCATATTCACGCACAGACAACCATCTGTCACAATAGCCTCCACTAAAATCCAGAAAACAAAGATTGAACCACCAAAGCTGAAGGTCCAGCACAAGTTTGTAGAAGAAATCATTGAAGAGACAAAGGTAGAAGACGAGAAGTCCGAAATGGAAGATGCCCTAGCAGCTATTGCAGAAGAAATGGCGGCCAAGGCCCAGGAAGAAGAACAGGAGGAAGAAAAAGCAGAAGAAGCAGCTGCAGAGGAAGAAACCGTTTCTGAGAAGGCAGCTGCAGAACAGGCAGCCGCACCTGAGGAAGAAGAGAAGGAGGAAGAGGAAGCAGAGGAGGAAGAAGCTGCAAAATCTGATGCAGCAGAAGAAGGAGGTTCTGAAAAAGAAGAAATAGAGGAAAAGGAAGAAGGGGAGGAGGCTGAGGAAGAGGGGGAAGAAGCTGAGGCCAAGGGCAAGGCTGAAGAGGTAGCGGCAAAGGTAGAGAAGGTCAAATCACCTCCCTCTAAGTCACCCCCTAAATCCCCCCCTAAATCCCCTGTAACAGAGCCAGCCAAGGCTGTCCAGAAAGAAGCAGCTCCAGAAGCAGGAAAAGAACAGAAGGTGGAGAAAGGCGGCGAGAAGCCAGCCAAGGAGGAAGAGAAAGCAGCGTCTCTGGAGAAGCCAGCGACACCAAAGGTAGCCTCTCCAGACAAGGCAGCAACCCCAGAGAAGGCTGCGACGCCAGAGAAGCCTCCCACCCCAGAGAAAGCAGTGACCTTGGAGAAGCTGGCAACGCCTGAGAAGGCGCGTTCTCCAGAAAAGCCAGCCACCCCAGAAAAGCCTCGCTCTCCGGAAAAGCCGGTGACTCCGGAGAAGCCCCATTCTCCGGAGAAGACCCGTTCTCCAGAGAAGCCGGCCTCCCCGGTCAAAGATAAGGCTGTGGTGGAGGAGACCATCACTGTCACAAAGGTAACAAAAGTTAGTGCGGAGGTAGAGAAAGAGTCCAGGAAAGAAGACATTGCAGTGAATGGTGAGGTGGAGGAGAAAAAGGAAGAGGAGGAATCCAAAGAGAAGGAGGTTGAGGAGGAAGACAAGGGAGTTGTCACCAATGGCCTAGATGTGAGCCCAATTGACGATAAGGGTGAGAAAATTGTAGTAACCAAAAAAGCAGAGAAAGTCACTGGTGAAGGTGGGGACAGTACAACCACGTATATCACAAAGTCAGTGACAGTCACTCAGAAGGTAGAGGAACATGAAGAAAGCTTTGAGGAGAAATTAGTGTCCACCAAGAAAGTGGAGAAAGTTACTTCACATGCTGTAGTAAAAGAGATTAAAGAGACCGAATAAAATAAATCTTAGCTAAATCTAAAAAAAAAAAAAAAAAATTAAAGAGCTTGGGTTGGTGCAAAAGGTTAAGCCATATGACAGCTGCAAAATGCATGTGAGTGACGGCTTCAAAGCAGAACGGGTTCTCTCATGGAGGCTCCAGACACACAGTATTTTACTTTTTTTGTGCAATATAGGGGAGGGGGGGGGAATGCATGCAGGCTCAAGATGTGCTCCCTCCACAGAGCTTGGGGATCTAAAATAATACTAATAATAGTGCATGAGACGAAATGTGCAAAGGAAGCTTTCTGAATTTCCTGAGCTGTTGGAGGGACATATCTGAGGAATGACTTAAGATGTATTATGCAAAGAACCAACTGAGCCAAAACCAAACAGAAAACAGTCATAGAATATTCCTGAGAACCAGAACTCTCCTAGCCTTAAAAAAAAAAAAGCTACTTATAAATAATTATGTTTACCTCACTGGTGCAATTAGGGTGGACTTTTGCTCATGGGAGAACCTAGTTGACATGCACAGTATGCAACCTTTTGTTGTTTGATGTAAAAGTCACAGCAGTTCTTGCTCAATAAAGGTCAATACTGAAAACATGACATGTCTGGTGACTTCTTTCCAACTCGCATCCTTACCTGAAGTTTGATCCTCTCTCCTGAACGGGAACACAGTTGCACGGGTTTTCCTCGGTGTCCTCATTTAGAGAACAAGTTTGAATTGGATGTGGTGAACCAATTCCCTGTAATGTAACACAAATACTTGAGGGGTGGTTTAAGCAAATGCTTCAGAACTGTGCCCCATGACCTCTGCAGAGGAATCTACTCCATTCTGCTGCCTGGCCTTCAGGTGCTTAGAGGGGTTGTGACTGATTTTGGTGGCTACATCTTTGTCCATTTGAAAATAACTGGAAGTGAGACCCTTCCAGAGTCTGAACTGGGTCTGGGTAGGGCTCAGATTATACCTGGTATGGTAAACCAAATTAAAGCGTTTTTTGATTTTTTTCAATAGAATGGCCTCCTAGGCCTTGGTCTGTGTCTACTGACACTTCTAGGTTGCCTTCATTAGGAATGACAATTAAAGGACCCTCCCAAAATGCCACTGTGTGGAAAATAAATGGAGACAAATGAAAAAAAGGCAAGAAGAGGAGGGCTCCAGCTCTGATTTGGGGAACTAATACGTCTTATTATGGGATCTTGTGTTTACTTCTATCAGATTTTGAAAGGAAAATGCATGCTGCTACTGCCTTACCTCCTAGAACTAGCAGAGAAATGCAAATCATTCTTGAGCCTGGGTTCTGTACATGGACTGTCCTGAAATCTGTTGACTAATTGAGAGTCTGATCAAAATCTATGATTTACATGTGCCTTCCAATTCATTATCCTATCAATAATTGAAGATCAAGTAGTTTTTAATTGAAAGGGTTCTGCGTGCTCTTCATGGGAGAAATTGTGAAAAGTCCACAGCAGATAAGCCTTTCAAATAAACCTGAATGCCTTTGTGTAGCAAAGTAATGAGTGTTTCTCCTGCTGATATCAATAATGGAAATCTGTGCTCAACAGCTTGCTGGTTGAGTGACGTTTAATTAAGGCAGGGTTAGCAAATTAAATGGCAGCTACTCTGTAGCGAGCTTATTTATGAAAGTTACATGTGTATGTGACATAAAAATAAGTATACCTTCATGAAAAAGACATTAAGTAGCCCAGTCACACTCACCTGCTGCCAGTGTTTGCACCAAGTTATGTTAAACTATAGAATGGCCCAATGGCTCGTGAGCTCTGAAACTATTTATCTCTTGGGTCTAATCGAAAGCTCAAGAGAACACCAGCGCTAAAACCAAAAACTAAACCAACCTTTCACATAAAACTTCTGGCTTTCAGCACAGAAAGTCAGGCATCTTCAGCACCAAGACAGAGGGGTCACCTTGTGCAGCGATTTAAACGTTGCTGTCGATGGGAGACTCCAGGACGTTGTGCGCGTGGGCTCACAGAGGCGCGGGGGCGTCCTGGACTGGCTAATTGTCACGTTACGCTTTCTTTTCAGTTCTACTAGGGTACAGCTACAAGGACTGAGAGATCATTATTTGCTTGCACGCCGGCAGTCCCACCAGGATCGCGTTTTTGTGTACGTGGGGGCTGTGTCAACCCTCCTGCCCAGGACACAGCGGCTTTCCGAAGAGTTTGGGGATTTGCTGCCCGTGTGGGAAGCAAACTGCTGGGCGTGATGCATTTCAAAATATCCTCATTTGCCCCCTGCTCTGCTTTTTCACCCAAAACGTATCACAGCCTTTAGTTATTACCCACAAGTACTTTGTTTTTTTTCCTCTGCTCTAACACACAAATTGGTGAGTTTAGCTTATTTCCCACTACAAATGTTTCCATCAAACCCTAAGAGAAATAAGCAACTGGTGAACGCATTTCTAAATATTTATAAAACTATAAGAACTGATTAACATTTAATGTTGCCAAGAGGTTTTGTCTACTGACATCTGCAATCAAACAGTTTCAAAAGATAGCATAATTCCAGAGCAGAGATGCATAAATAGTATGTTATTTGCCTGTTCTGCACCAATTACTTCTTCAGACTCTGCATAACCAGTGAAGGGATTAATTACTTTCAGACACAGAAGTTCATTAATAAATACAAAAGACTCCATGAAGGGAAAAACAATAATTAAAGGAAGTTACAGTGAAGGTTTATTCATCCTATTTAGGGTGGACTGCAGAGACCCCTGTGACTTTGGGAGCTGGAGGGCTCTAAACCAGGATCTTTTTACCGTACTGGGTTGTAGAGGTGCTATGATTAAGAGATTTTTAGCATCCCAGAACTAAATTCCAGGTGGAAACAAACTGGGAAGTGTTACAAAACGCAAAGAGGTTGCATTTGCCAGGAAGCTGAGTCAGACACTAGAATTTTCTCCAGGCGTTGGGGGCTGTGCTTTCCCACTCACATGTGGGCTTCCTTCCTCCTCCTCCCCTTAACTAACCCAGGAAGGCAGCAACCAATACAAAGTCAATTATTTAGTTATAAGAAGTAAATTCCTTGAATCTGGCTATCATATCCATATACAAGTTTCCCTCCTGCTGAGCAGAAAGGGATTAAGTGTGGGTGTGTATCTCAAGAGAAGGATTCAGGAGCTCCTTGGATTTGTTTTCCCTGTGCTGAGATCTCAGCCTGATCCAAACAGCGAGAGAAAATCCAGGGACAGACTCGTGGCTTTAGTTGCAGTTGCAACTTGGGTTAAAGTTTCTACCGTGTCTCCCTCTGCCTGCTTTTACTGCATTGCGTCAAAGCGAGCTCCTGGATCTTCAGAGGTAAAACAAGGGTTACCAGTAGGATCTCCGCAACCCCGAGAGCATCTCGGCGCGCGCTTCCACCCTCGCTCCCACCAGTTTACCTTAGCAGCAAGGCAGGGCCAGGGGTGACAAACCAGGCTGGGTGGTCACTGCAGCTTATCGCTCTCTGCAGCTCATTGCCACGGCTGTGACTCACACATCTCCTGCAGAGTCGTGAAACGTCTCCTCTAGCTGCAATACATTAAAAATAACATAAGGAGTGGGGATCGGATGGAGATACGCTGCAAGGAGAAGTGAGTTTGCCGGTACATCTCTAAATGTGCTGGTCTGAGAGCATCCTTAGCAGCCTGGTTGCAACGCTTTGGATTGCTGCAAGCTGCATGACTTCCAGAAGTGAAGGGGATGCAAAGGCCTGAATGAAAGAGGAGTTTATCTGCCATTAAAAAAAAATAAAAAAAAAATATATATATAAAAAGATATGAAAAAGGAAGAAAGAACAGGTATTGACAAGTTAAAAGGAGCTCAGAGTGCTTGGAGAACGGCAGGAAGGGGCAGAGGCTTTAGTCTACACCAATCTATTTAAGAGTGGTTTGGTGTTAACGGCTGTGACGAGTTCTCATCTGGTGCATAACATGTTTTTTGCTCCACAGGAGCAGAACGTTTCTCCCATCTGAAGTGCCACGCTAAGCATTTTCTGACAGGGCACTTGGGTGAATGTCCAAGGACCATCGCTTCAACTCAGTATTCTGCTGTTGGAACTAAGGGTATCACATACCAAAAGGAGCAGCTCTCCTGCAATCCCATCAATAGCTTTTAAAAGCACCAAGCAAACAGCGTGCTGGAGCCGAGCCCATGGTGCTGCAAGTACCTCCCGCCACATTCCCAGAGGTGGAAAATGAGATCTGTGCTGTAGAATGAGTCTGCATAAGGGAGAAAAATCCCCATTAAAAGAAGAAATGTGAAAAGACTTAAAAGAGATGTTGTTGAAGAAAGGAAAACAAAAAAATCTGTCTTCTTTTTAAAAGCATCAAAACCCCCAAGAAAGTAGGAGGGAAAAGAATAAGCGTTTTGAAATGCAACAGCAACTCTCTGAACTGTTACCAGAGTCAGTGAAATTAGTGCATACAAGCTCTCTTTCCCAAATAGTTTTACCAAAGCTGCTTTTTCTTTCTCCTGCTGTTTTTCCTTGGAATGTGGAAGGAAAAAAATTGGTAAAATGCTTACCTCATCCATGACCATCTTCTTTCTAACTCTTTCAACACTGAAAAGGGAGGTGCTTTTGAAACACCCCTAAAATTTGTATAAAATATAAAGTATTTCCTTTCTCGCTGAACTTAACCATTGAGGAGAACCAATGCAAATCAGCTGACACCATGTGAAAAGTCTTAGTGCAGCCACATAAGGCCTGTTAACATGGGTTTCCATGGACATTGCTTTCAGAATTGCCAGGCTCTGAGGCAATTTGAGCTGTTCGTATTTTGTGCCTCATCACAGATTAAACTTTTCTTTAGCTCCCACTCAAAACTTTAAAAGGCCCTGACAAGTTCTCAGAATAAAATGAGCCTCTTCAGGCCCTTGAGATAGCACCCAAGAAAAGTAGCTCACTCAAGCAGCAGAGAACTCACCCCACGTTGTCCTTCTAACATCTCACCAAAGCTGCTTTTTTAAAAATATATATATATATACACACACATACATGCCAACACCACTCCAAATCCTAGCTACATCCCGTCATTCTTCCCTTTCAGCACCGATCTGTCAGACATTGAACAATTTCCTGATGTGGAACAGCCCTATCTGCATTTTGCTTTTGTATCAGGTTGTTACAAATCCTTTTTCAAAAAGCAAAAGGAAGCTTGCACCTGAGCACGTACAACAGCCCCTTGAGACCCAGCACAAAGCTGGCAGCACATTTGGACATTTTTACTATTGTTGAGATTTTCATGTGAAATTTTACAGCCCTATCAAGAAATTTTGTCTACCTCATAGTGCCCCAAGTGTATTAAGAGACAAAAAATCAGTAACTCATGTCCTGTTATGCAGGCTTGAAAGATGAGTGTGACAACACACCTTTATCAACCTTTTAATTGCATTAGTGACACACGACACACACAATGAAACTGTGTCAGCATTTCTGTAACTTTATTGACTAGCTTTATTGCACATACTTATTGAAGCCTCCATTATTTTACCCACCCAAGGTTTCCATAATTATTTTAAATGCACATTAAAGATAACTTTCATTCCCATGACTTATTTTTTTCCCCCCATTTTAAATTTTAAGGTTCCGAATCACCCAAGAAAGACACAACCCCTGAATTCATACGTGTAGACCATGCGGCATTCAGGGAGCAAGCCAGTGGGTGCTCTGCAAGCATACTGATACTCTGCACAGAGAGAAACATCATAGATCATTAACTTTAAACCTCAGTGGTCACTGAATTAAATATGTGAGACTGCAATTTTAGCTCAGTCAATCATCATTTATTCTGTTGATCTGATGAGAAAGCTAGACTGCCTAAAATTAAAAAAATCAAGCCTTCTTCTTCACTTCACTCTCTTCCTTTCCTGCTGCTTCCTTCTCTTCCTTCTCCTCCTCACCAGCTTCCTCAGCGGTTTCCTGAGACTCCTCCCCTTCTTCAGCTGCTGTTTCTTCTCCTTCCTCTTCCTCACCCTCTTTGCCTTCTTCAGATTCTTCTTTAGCACCTTTGAAAGACAAAAAGAAGTGTTTCACATCTATGTACTGTTCCTAAACCCAATTAAACAGGAGCCAGCATACCTGCACCCTTCAGCCTCACACATCTGGAGGAGCTGAACACGACGGGGCCGGCAACTGATGGTGCACAAAAGCAGAGACATCTGTCTAGCACTTGCAAGGCAGAACAAACCTACACAACCAACCTACCCTAGATCTCAGAGGGAGTAAACCACCCTACAGGTCTTTTCAAAATCATGGCCTTGAAAAACACTGTGGACTCATCGCTTCACGCCTGAGCCAAAGCCTTGAATTCAAAAAGGATTCTTGCTATTGCTCTCCCATTGGCTCTTTCAGCCATCAGGTCATTATAATTAATCATCATCCTAATAATCTCTTGGAATAGTTCAATGATAACCAATGCATTTCAGATTGATTTAGGTTAAATCCTTCAGAGTTATGCAACTGAAGGTGGAAAAAGCAGCTGGGTAACACTCCTTTTACATTTTCTTTAAGATGTGACTTTGGTAAATGAATTATGGGGCAGCAAGGAAGTGACATGTACTTTAAACAAACAAGAAAACTACACAGACCTCAGGCAATAGATACTGCTGTGCACTGAACCCAACAGTTTCATCCACAGACAGCAGCTGATGTTCCTGTTAGCACAGGCTACTCTCTGGGAATTAGTATTTAGCTCAGGATGTCCTTGTCGTTATTTTTTTGACGATGTCTGTAACAGCTAAAGTACTGTTTGCTGCCATACGAATGTAACATTACATGTTGTTGAAGTATCATCGTTCTTGATTTTTGAAGCCTGAATGGGAAAACACGCAGTGATTCCCACGGGAGTATAATATCAGTCCTAAAATCTGCCTGACACTGGATGTTTACCTCATCCTCCACTTCAGTGTTCAAAATTAAACGCTGTGTGCTTAATCCCACAATCCCCTGCTTGCATGAGCAGACAATGAGAGAGGTTTAATTATTAGACTTATTCACCAGGATTTCCAAGTTTTACCCCACATGAGCGTGGTGAAGCATGAAATAGAGGAATTTGAAAGTAACTGTAAGTACCTTCCTCCTCTTCTTCAGCCTCTTCACCTCCTGCTTCTTCCTCACCTTCCTCTTTCTCTTCCTCCTCACCCTCTTCTGCAGGGGCTGCCTTGGCTTCTCCCACTTTAGCAGCCTCAATTGTTTCCTCTATTTCAATCTGCTCTTCCTGGACGTGACTGGAGTAGTACGTGGGGAAGGAACGGGTTGTCATCAGGTAGGAGCTGGACTGGAGACCACTGTAGGCAGATCTGCCGAAAGTCGGGGCAGTCTGGGTGTAGCCACTGGTGATGCTTCCCACACTAGTGAAACTGAGTCGGGTCTCTTCGCCTTCCAGCAGTTTCCTAGCAGGGGGGAAAAAATAACCAACCAAACAAAGAGAAATGACTTAGTTGTGCCGCAGCGTTCAGCAGATTCCACTACAGACCAAGATACTACGATGCTTTGAGCAGTAAAAGCCCTACAGACTGCACACTTAGGAGTACAACAACTAGCCCATAACGAATAATCACGTGGCAATACCACCCTACCTGACAACTGCTACCCTACGTGACAATTTGATGTTACGCTTAGCTGTTAGACGAGGCTTACAGCCACGTTCTCAGTATTCCCCCTTGTGGCAGTCACGGAAACACGTTTCTGCATTTGCCATTTCTAACAGAACCAAGTGCAAAGCATCAAAAAGCTATTTAGCACCAATTCTGCTGTAAAAATATTTGTTTTGCAGGAGAGTGCTTCTGTGAGTTAGAAACGAAGCTTAATCTTAAAAGCATATAAGGGATTTCCAGTTCTGAGAACACAGCCATCTGTAGCAAGAAGTTCCGCCAATGCAAGATCTCTTCACTCCCAAGTAGAGAACAGTTATTTTTATCAGTAAAGAGTGAGAACTGAGATTATGTCTTGCTGAGCTAAGAGTTCTGTATGCATATACATACATCCTATTTATATGTACTGGAGTGGCTACACTGCCTATTTTGCTTTAAGCCAACATTTTGCCTGAAAAGTACTGCTTCTTCCAATACTAAGACAGTGAAGAAGACTTGCTTAATTAAACTCTGACACCTATCTATGAACATTTCTGCCAGAGGAATGATAAGTTAAAATTAATTTTCTTGAAGACAGGACGTGATACATGTTCTGACTTACTAAAACATTACCCTCATCATACCTATATGCTGCAATTTCGATGTCCAGGGCCATTTTCACATTGAGCAGATCTTGATATTCCTTCAGGTACCGAGCCATTTCACTCTTTGTGGTTCTCAGCTCGTTCTCTAATTTGTTGATTGTATCCTGTCGGAAGAAGCAATATTGACAGGGTAAAATTCCTACTTCTCTCACGTCTAGCAATAACACCTTGCACAAAATTTCTCTAATCCTATCAACTTAATCTTGCTATAGCAGATAGAGAAGAACCAACAGCTCCAACCCCACCCTCAACCAACAAGGCACCATCGACCAGATCGCACCTGCCCTGGCTGGGTTTTCCCACCCCTGTACCTACATCCTGTTACTTCACTCCTGTTTAATGCTGAAAGCCCATTTTTCCGCTATCCAAGGACTAAAGCATGCAGGAAACCTGCACCTCACTGAATTTCACTTTTAGGCTCTATGTCAGTTTTCTAGTTTTGGCTCAAGGATATCTTTACTATAACGACATAGTTAACACTTCATCAGAGCAACCTGATCTAGAGGGAGACATCCCTGCCCACGGCAGGGGGGTTAGAACTAAATCATCTTTAAGGTCCCTTCCAACCCTGACAATTCTATGATTCTGCAGAAGCGAGCGATCTTTCCACGATTCTGCAGAAGCGAGTGGTCTACCACGCATTATAGCTCCGTGGCATTTTGCATCACGATTCCGATGCCCCTTCCAACCACCGGCATTCTGTGACTTTACAATACCCTGCGGCACAGCTCGAAACAATACCCCTCGATCTTTATTTCTCTTTTTT